GGACAATGTAAATAAAATGTTTCGCAGCCCGCCAGTGGATTAGCCTGATGGGCCACGTGCCAAAGGTTGCCGACCCCTGAGCTAGGCTGTTCTCAGAGGTGGCAGAAGACAGAACAAGGCGCAATGGTCTCAAGAGGTCTAGGTTGGATATTAGGAAAAACTATTTCACTTGGAGGGTGGTGAAGCACTGGAATGGGTTATCTAGGGAGGTGGTGGAATCTCCATCTTTAGAAGTTTTTAAGACCCGGCTTGACAAAGCCCTGGCTGGGATGATTTAGTTAGGGTTGGGCCTGCTTTGAGCAGGGGGTTGGACTAGATGACCTCCTGAGGTCTCTTCCAACCCTAATCTTCTATGATTCTATAATTCTAATACAAAGAAGTTTTCACTTGGAAATATGACCCTGCCAATGCTCCCACTCCTGTATATTCTGGTTGCAGTCATTAAAACAGCCAAGTGACACCTTTACCAATCCCATTTGTGATGAGGCTTTGAAGTGTTGAGGATCAATTCTAATATAAGCATTGTTATCTGCAGGTAGCTTGAAAAATTGTTACAGCATGTCCACACACTTGCACCAGCTGCCACTCTTTTTTCCAAGACACCCAGTGACACATATCAATGGGCCTAATTTAGAATTGAGCCCATTGTTTTTAATTCTGCTCATCTGGTCCAATACCTCGAATAGCTAAAGTGGCTTTGCTTTTATTTGACCCATTTTGGACACATATTCACCTCTTTACATTTTTGTGTGTGTGTGAAAGCTTCAGTAGCTGCACACTAAATTCCAGCCCATTATAATTGGATCAAATGAGCTGTGTGGCGCTATTCCTAATTGAAACTCTATAGAAAGCTGTGGTCTGCACAGGGCCTGGGAGAAGGTAGAACAAAGCCTTTAATGTGCAAAGTGGAGATTTGCCAGCCATCACTTCACAGCTCATCAGGTGGAATTAGCAGACTATTCTGGGCCTTCTTTTTTGGACTGGTTTCTAGGAAACAAAATTTTTCACAACTTGCATACAAAACAAAATGATGAAGTGTTTTATGCTTTATGACTTCATTTATTGGATGAAGCAGCCAGGGAAATTTAGAGGATATTATTGTTATTATTATTATTATTATTATTATTTGGGGTAAGTAATGATTGCAGAGGGGAAGGGGGTGAGAATATATTGTAGAAAACATAACATGTTGCCTTTCCTTGCTAAACATAATGCAAATAAAATATGTTCACTACGTTTTGCATGCTAATAAATTTGTTATGACTTCATCCAATTATGGCACATTTAGCAGTTTGTACACCACAGTGAAATCTGCAATTATAATTTTTGTGACTTTGTGTTCTAGACATGTTTATGGGATTGCAGTTTAGCAGCTCCTAATCTGTGCTACATTTTTATATCCCATATGAAATTTGTTGCAAGTCACATACTCACATTTATTATTTAGAAGACAGGTGCACAGAAAGCAAAGCTGATGGTGATACACCAGGGCTAGCTAGCAGCCCTGAACTCTGCAACACATTTCTCTCAGGAGATGAAGCCCCAGTTTTAAAATAAATCTAGTTAATCAATAATTTAGCTCAATCAATATGTTTATAATAACCATCAGCTGTACGTAGAGCAGGCTGTCACCATTTCCTTTTCATTTATAGAAGATTTTGTAATTCAATTTGTAGACCTTAGCATTAAAGGGGTTTTTGTTTTGTTTTTTTGAATGGATCTCTCCTAGTTCTAGAAAGACCAGGCTGTTACAGCATTTATTCAATGAGCGTTTAAAAAAAGACGTGTGCATGAGTGGAACTAAGAGCTTTGGCTTAAACTAGGGAAATTACGAGCAAACATTATGTAAACATCCTCATATGGCTCGGTCAGTACACTTCAGCTGAGTTTGGTCCCTGTCCATTGTTACAGCATCCCTGCTGTGCAAGCTCCATGTCCTCTTGGGAGTTCCAATTATGCCACATTGTCTCCCCTCTCTCCGTTAGGCTAATGTGGGTCCTTCCCTGGCTGAATGGATGTCAGAGAGCCAGAGAAGAAATTTAATGGAATCTCAGCCCAGACGCGTCTGAAAATGATGCCAGGAGATAAGAACATATTATCCTGAAACACACACCCTCCGCTTCACAAAAGCAGATACTAGAAAAGATGAGCAGAGCAGCAATGAACCTCTCTGTGAAGCAACCCCAGTATCTACAGTCACTTGAGGGGAGAGACCTCAACCATGCCAGCTCCAGAGGGCAGGAGGAACCCATTTAAAAATATTGCCAACCCCAAGCTTTCAAAAATCAAGAATCAGCCCTCTCCCAAATCATGAGATTGACTTAAAAATCATAAATTTTCTAGTAATAATAATAGTAATATGGGGGTTCTTTTCTTTGCCTTCTGGTTTCTGAGCCTTTAGGCTGCACTTGCTACTGTTTTCAAGCTTTTCAAGGGCAGAACACTTTTTGATTAAATGAAATCTCATGCAATCTCCTTTTGTTTCCCCAGCCACTGGGGCTTTAAGACAATCACCAAATATCACAAGACTCATGATAAGATCATAAAAGCACTGCATTTCCCTCCCACAAGTCCTAGGCAGTCTACACTGGGGGCCAGACTGCAATACTCCTATTCACACTGAATAGTACTTTGTTCTACAGATAGTAGTCCCATTGAAATCAGTGAGACTCATAGAATAAGGTGCTATTCAGGGTAGGTAAGGCCATTACAATCTGCCTGGAAGGGAGCTGTGCTGGGGAGTTACTGCTGCTTAGGGCTACAGAAACTCCTTTGGCCCATGCTGCCCTAAAAGGGGACAGGACCAGGCCAACAGCTGGATGGAGAGAGGAAGATGGGCAACTCTTTGAGGAATTGCAGAGTATGGAGGGGAACTCATGTATGGATGTGGATAATATTATCTATCATACATAAAACAGTCAAGATAATGGGTATTTTGGAGAACATGATTTCTAGCATTGCACTAATCCAGAAATATTTGTAAAGCACTCGCAATTGAGAATGCAACAAATGAAAAAGTGAAACTGTTCTTAAACAAACAGAAAATTAATAGCATTGTTTGATGATGATTGATCAGAAGAAATAGAAAAGCTAATGGACATAAAGCTATCAGCAAGACTATGTACAAACACCAACATTTGTATTCACTTCTGGGCCATAATTAGGATAGAAATGATAACTTGTCACAAAGCTTTATTTCACTCATGCCTCCCCTACCCCCACCAGCTAAATGAGTGTGCAAGGCTCCAGGCCCAGTAAGATTTGTGAGATCTGCAGCCTTGTGCCCCCGGATTAAAATAGCCTCAGAAACGTTTCTGTCTGGTCTGTCAGTGACTGATGGTAAAATTTCAGCTGTAGGACTGAGACACTGTACATACATTTTCACTGCTATTGTTTCCTTCAAGGGGGGCAGGCAAGTGTTTTAACACTAGATCATAGACGTAGAGTGGCCACCCAGGCTGGAATTTGCTAATAGGACAGCACTGCCTGATTGCATGGACCTAATTTAGCAGCTGGCCAGGGATGAGCTCAGAGCCACAAAAGAGAAGAATGTTATATAGTGTTGATCCATGATGGGCAAATGACAGAGTTCCTATTCTCAAGAATTTGAAAATAAGGAAATACCAGAATAAATCGTGGAAATTTATTTTCACTCTGAAGTGTACAGAAACTCTAGTCTCAGTGCCTGTGTGTCCTGCCCATGATTTATAGCACCTTTGCAAGTAAAATGGTGTTCTGAAAAGAGCAGGAATTTTCAAGCTGATGCATTAGTCAATTGGAAAGTACTAGTACTTTAGCCTTGGCATTTCATCTCTCTCGCCATAGACTGGTGTTCCTTAACGTAACGCAGAATCCTTTGAAGGAACAGGAACTGTGACCCAGGGTGTCTTACCCCACTTTAAACCTTAGCAGACCAACTTGGCACGTACAAGTTCTTTAATGACCTAGTCTGTCATTCCATAGGGTACATCTTCCCACTGACTACCCAGGAAGGAGGTGACTACAACAACCAATCACTAGGACAGGCACAGGCTACAACCTCATTCACCTTTACTGAAACTTCCCTTGAACGAGAGCATGTGGCTCTATATGACTTCAATGGGAAATGCACATCTACGTCTGAGGCCAAATCTGCCCTCTCTTTTTTGACCAGACATAAAAATCTCTTAGGGTGAAGAAAAATAATCATTGTGTTTCCTATCTAGTTGCTCTTAATGCACCAAAGATGAAGTGCCCCTTTTGGTTATTCATCTTAATATACAAGCCATTGTTCAAGTTTCCTCTGTTTACACTTAGACTGCATACAGTCGTCACATAACATTTTACCCATTTTACTTCAGATAACTAAACTATGTTACTGCAAGTACTGAGATATTATCAAGTCATCTAAGATGACTGACAAGTTAAATGCAACCAATACACAGTCCTAGTTAATAATAAGAGCTGTGACAAATACTGAACAATCAGGTATCAATTCAAAAGAGATGATAAAAGAACAACTCACACCCACCACATTCAAGGAAAAAGTTCACATTACTTCAATATGACAGCTGGATTATTTTTAAGGTTATGAGCTATAATATTCCTTTTAAAAACAAATTTATCGAGGGGTTTGTTTCTTTCAAAATTGTGGTAACATTTTTCCTTTTGGAGATGGAATATATCATTTAAACCCATTTGATATATATATAAGTACATGTGTGAATATTTATATATATATGTTCACACGCGTACACACGAGCACTGGAGGGCACTGTTGAATCCTTACCACATTGTAAGGGTGTTCAGCTCAGGAGTACCAACAACTTGCTCCCATCAGCTAGCTTTGCAAATTGTCTCCTTGCCAACAGAGAGGATTGGCTATATTATAAGTATATAAGTGAAGGCCCGTCATCCAATCTCTACTCAGTGCTTAAGAAAAGATTTGCCAATTCAGATTCTTTTTGTGACTACAGCATGCAAATATGAAATAAAAGAAAGGAATAAAAAAGTTGACTAACCTAACCCACCTGAGCTCGGCTCACAGGGATCAATATCCTCGTCATCACTGGGACATTCAGCCGAGGCCACCAGGATGTCATCTGTGGTCTGCAAAGAAAATAAAGTCAAGTAGATTCATTTAAACTGAGCCAGCATATGCTCAGATGATCATTAGCATATCTGCCATCACTCAGATTTATGTAAAGTCCTAAATGCCTGAGCATTTCAGACTTAAAATTTTATGATACAAAGATGCTCTCCATTTGTATTATAATGAGGCTCTACTTTTCTATACATTCATGTCATTTTTCAAAGGATGGTGTCAGATACCAAAAGCAGGCAATTGAAAATTTCATGAAAATTCTCTTCAGCCATTTTGTTCTAACAAGAATGAGAATATAGAGGGACAAAGTACTTGCATTTAGATGTTATTCTCTTCTCTCTATATCCAATATATAAACTATGAATATATACAGAAAAAAATGGCGGTATAAATCCTAGCCAAAACAGAGCATATTAAATTTATTGTAATTGCAGACACCATCAGAGGTGCATGAATATTTTTTTTGCAATAATTATATTTGCATTCTTAAGAGTAGCTACAGCACCATATCAACTGCTACAGAATATTTACAACTGCTCAGGAAAAAGACCTGAGTATCATTTATCATAGAATCATAGAATATCAGGGTTGGAAGGGACCTCAGGAGGTCATCTGGTACAACCCCTTGATCAAAGCAGGACCTAATCCCCAACTAAATCATCCCAGCCAGGGCTTCGTCAAGCCTGACCTTAAAAACCTCTAGGGAAGGAGATTCCACCACCTCCCTAGGTAACCCATTCCGGTGCTTCACCACCCTCCTAGTGAAAAAGTTTTTCCTAATATCCAACCTAAACCTCCCCCACTGCAACTTCAGACCATTACTCCTTGTTCTGTCATCTGGTACCACTGAGATCAGTCTAGATCCATCCTCTTTGGACCTTCCTTTCAGGTAGTTTAAAGCAGCTATCAATTCCCCCCTTGTTCTTCTCTTCTGCAGATTTGTAGACAGCTACATGAAAACATATGCTCGATGTATAGTCATGGTCAAAAAAGCAAACAAAATGATCGGATGTATGAAGCATGGGTTAGAAAATAACACTGATAATATTAGAATCTCTTATATAAAAGGGAATACTGTATCTAGTTCTGATAACTATATTTCAGAAAGGATAGAGCAGAAACAGAATGGTTGCAGATATGGGTTACCAAAATTATTAGAGGCATTAAAGATTTCCATAGGAAAAGACTGAATAGAGGGGGACTATTTAATTTGCAGAGGAGACAAATAAGAGGGCACATGATAGAGGTGTACAAAATAGTGAGTGGTACACTGAAGAGAAATTGGGCACTCCTATTTAGCTTCTTATAGTACAACAACAAGAGGATATTCAATGAAACTGAAAGCCAACAATTTAAAAACTGATAAAGAGAAATACTTCTTTATACAATGTACAATTTCTGTGTACAGGTCTTAGTTGGATTAAGAAACTAATAGATATTTATAAACCTGATGAAAACATCCACAGTTACATTAGAAATAGAAGAACTAGATAAGTGGTATCTACTTAAGTCAAACACTTAGGGCAGAGGTAGGCAACCTATGGCATGAGTGCCGAAGGCAGCACGCGAGCTGACTTTCAGTGGCACTCACACTGCCCGGGTCCTGGCCACCGATCCGGGGGCCTCTGCATTTTAATTTAATTTTAAATGAAGCTTCTTAAACATTTTTAAAACCTTATTTGCTTTACATACAACAATAGTTTAGTTATATATTATAGACTTATAGAAAGAGACTTTCTAAAAACGTTAAAATGTATTACTGGCATGCGAAACCTTAAATTAGAGTGAATAAATGAAGACTCGGCACACCACTTCTGAAAGGTTGCTGACCCCTGACTTAGAGTATGTCTATACTGCAATTAAAAACCCTCAATGGACCCTTGCAAGCTGACTCAGGCTTCGGCTTGTAGGACTGTTTAATTATGGTGTAGACGTTTGGGCTCAAGCTGGACACCAGGGTCTAGGATTCTGTGAGGTGGAAGAGTCCCAGAGGTCAGGCTGCAGCCCAAACCCAAACATTTACACTGCAATTAAACAACCCCTTAGCTCAAGCCCTGCAAGCCCGAGTCAGCTGGCACCGGTGAGCTGCGGGTGTCTAATTGCAGTGTAGACATACCATTAGTGATGTTGTTAATAAAGAACTTTCTCTATCATCAAGTTATTCCATAATTGTCCATTTCAAGGTTACTTTTACATTCCCATGAAACATTTGGCACTGGCCACAGTTGGAGATATGATACACTGGTACATGGACCTCAGGCTGCAGCTGGAATATAGTCATTTCTATGGTCCTATATGGTACTTACCCAAACTGTGAGATGCAGAATATATTCATCAGAGTGGAATCTTACATTTAAGCACTTTTTGCAATGAATAAAGTGAGGAAATCTGTTCCATGTTCAGCTTTTAAACCTATGAGGAATATCACTTTGATGTAACACTTTTATTTCTCTACAGATGTTTAGCAATGTTGTTTATTATTCTTCCAGTTGAAGTTTTACAGCAAAGAATGTTTATTATAATAGGCTTATTCTTTGATGTGCCTCACAAATATGAAGGACCATATGCTTACAACACTCTTATGAGGTAGGGAAGTGCTATTATCCCCATTTTACAGGTGGAGGACTGAGGCACAGGGAAATTAAGTGACTGACCCAAAGTCACACAAGAAGTCTATGGAAGACATCATAGTCCAGTGCCTAAACCACAGAACCACCCTTCCTCAGGGAAAACCACATTGTAAATCTATGAGATTGGCAAAGAGACTGGGAGATATAGGAAGAGAGAGAGAGACAAAAAAATGTAGTCTTTTTTTCTATACCATATAGACAAAATTGGAACTGTAGGTACCTACAAATATCCTAATACATTCCCGGGGGGGACATTTACTGAGACAATTTAAGGCTGCACATTAATACCTCCCTCCATTTTTGAAAAATGGCCTAAGACGACTCTGCAGCTGAAAACCAACCAACCTCAAAAACATGGAAATAAAAAGTTAAGCTACTGCTTTAAGAAACAAACAAAACTGAAAAACCATGGAAAATCAGCATGAGTCAATCAAACACTCTTAGCTATGTCCACATAGTCTCATCTTTACATCTTTCCTCCTACTTGTAACACTGAAGACATTCTCTTTGTGCAGTCTGCAGATGCCCAATCAAAAAGTTACATCTGTGGTATGACACTTTGTCACCACTCTAACCTTTGCTCTTTCTAGCTAAGACCCATAAGTTGCATGCCTAAGAAGTTTCTATGTATTATTTTGATGCAAAACTGTAACATTTGTACAAGTAGTGGGACAGGGAATATTAATGCGTAGCAGAAAATGAGATTCTCTGCTATTCCATTGGTGTAATCAGGAATTGTTAAAGAATGTCTTTCGGCATGGACTACGCATTTCTGTAAAGAAGGTCATAATCTGAGCAACCCCTGTATGACTCATATGAAAGTGTGTGATGGATGGATAAAATTGTCTCTGGTTGTTCTGAGGGGAGGGCTGCAAGGGCAGAGTTAAATGTTCTTAGGTGACCTTAAACTCTGCTTTTCAATGCAGTTTGCAATGCACTTGAAATTATCAGAAAGAATTCTAAACTGTCAATGGGATTTTATTCCTTCTGCATCTGAAAGAATGAGGATTTTTTCTGCATGTTTACTTACAAGGGATAAAAGTGGTTTTCTAATGTAGTTGGAACTTTATATATGAAGAGAGAACTACTGAGTGTATTTAATAGAGATCTATGAAAATTCCAGCTCTTGGTCACTTAAGGAGCATTAATGAGCAGAAAGAGGTGTTCTTGATTCTATTGTATGTAAATAAATTAATGCTCGGTTTTCTTTTAAAAAATTGTGATACAACATGCAAACCAGCATATATGCCAAGAAAGATCTCACTACAACTGCTGAATATTCAAGTCAATTATATGTGTAAAACTGATTTTGTAACAATGCAGGTTTAAAAGCAATCAGTCATATACCAGGATTGGACTGAAGGTGGAAGGGGCAAGATGATGTAAGAATTGTTTTCTTCCATGAAAAACACTTCCAAAATATTTGCAGTTTAAATATCAATTAACTATGTGTCACAAAAACAAACAAACAAACAAATTAAAACCAAAAACCCAACATTGTTTACAAAGAGAGGGCAAGGAAAGAGTGAAAGCTAAGTGGAGTGGCATTGATCAAAGTTAGCAATGAATGCTATTGAAGTGCTGAAGTCATTTTTATAATGGATTAAACATTAGCTCTAATTATATCAAATATGAAAAATATATATAAAAATAAAATACTATGAGCCAAATACTAGTCCTTTCTCCAACAAACCTCCCATTTACTTCAATACTTCAATTACTGCCTAGATCAGGGGTAGACAACCTATGGCACGTGTGCCGAAGGTGGCACATGAGCTGATTTTCAGTGGCACTCACACTGCCCGGGTCCTGGCCACCGACCCTGGGTCCGGGGAGCTCTGCATTTTAATTTAATTTTAAATGAAGCTTCTTAAACATTTTAAAAACCTTATTTGCTTTACATACAACAATAGTTTAGTTATATATTATAGACTTATAGAAAGAGACCTTCTAAAAATGTTAAAATGTATTATTGGCACGCGAAACCTTAAATTAGAGTGAATAAATGAAGACTTGGCACACCACTTCTGAAAGGTTGCCGACCCCTGGCCTAGATAAAGGCAGTAGGATTTAGCTCTAGAGTTCTAAGACTGCTAACAGGTCGGTCCAGATAAATAATATCAGGAAGAGTAAAAGGTCTACGTTAAACTTACTGTAAATTGCCTTTTTCTGGTGATTTTTAATGTGACGAAGAGAGTTCAAATACATTAATTTTCCAAAATGAATTGCACTTGTTACCACCCATGATAAACATTACCAATTTACAGGACAGCTGCACCAAGCATTTTCATTAAACAAGGATTTTAAAATCAGAGCAAAATCCCCCCCTATTTGCAGTGAGTGTCTAACAGGATAACATAAAAGCTCGTGTCATC